TTGGAATGCCTAACGTTGGGGCTTCGACGATGGATAAGGGAGTTTCCTGCTGATGTTACATTTGTGTGGTCGGTCCTGCCTGCGTGTCGGCTCTACGCCACGGTTGACCCGCCTTGATTTCCAGTTCGGATCTCCTCGCTTTGGTCGCCGGAGCTGCATTGTGGGTACCAGACTGTGCATACCCGGCTGGCGAGGCTCTAATGCAACAAAAGTGGCGGGAGTCGCGTGCTCTGCCGGTGGTAATGCAAGGGTCGAGAAGGGGAGCGCCGTGAAGTTGGCCGGTGGTGCGGGCATGATCATGGCGAACACCGCCGAGAGTGGAGAAGAACTCCTTGCGGACTCTCACCTCATTCCTGCAACGATGGTCGGAGAAACCGTAGGTAACAAGATCCGGAAGTACATTGCGTCCGACCTGTCTCCCACCGCCAACATCGTTTTCCGAGGGACGGTCATCGGGCCTGACCCGGCATCACCGAAGGTCGCTGCATTCTCGAGCCGAGGCCCGTACCTCCACGCGCCGGAGATCATCAAGCCGGACGTTATCGCCCCCGGTGTCAATATCTTGGCGGCATGGAGCAACGAGAGCGCTCCTACCGATCTCGAGATTGATCCGAGGCGTGTTGAATTCAACATTATCTCCGGAACTTCAATGGCGTGCCCGCACGTCAGCGGGCTTGCTGCGCTGCTCAAGAAGGCACACCCGGACTGGAGTCCGGCTGTGATCAAGTCAGCGTTGATGACTACAGCCTACAATGTCGATAATTCCGGTGACACCATAAGAGATCTGGCCACTGGAGACGAGTCCAACCCTTTTGCTCGAGGATCTGGTCACGTCGATCCCAATAAAGCGCTCGATCCTGGTCTAGTCTACGATCTTCAAACCGTCGACTACATTGCGTTCCTCTGCTCGGTCGGGTACTCTCCACAGCAGATCGCCATTGTTGCTAGAGACGGAACAACTGTAAATTGCTCGGCGATTAACAAGAAATTGGCGAGCGCAGGAGGCCTCAACTATCCTTCCTTCTCTGTTGTTTTCTCGTCCGATAACGATATTGTGACCTATAATCGAGAGGTGAAGAACGTCGGAAGCGGACCAGCGACGTACGAAGTTGAAGTATCTAGCCCTGAGGGGGTGAATGTAACAGTGAGACCGAGTAAGCTCGTGTTCGATTCTCCAGGACAGAGCTTATCGTACGAGATTGCATTTGTTTCGATTTCGAGATCGAAGGCTGATGATTTTGTGTTTGGATCAATCTCATGGAGTGATGGAGTTCATGAGGTGAGAAGTCCGGTTGCTGTTGGCTGGAGCTTGAAGCTTTCGGCCTCAATTTGAGATGATTGAGGGTCGAGCTATGAATAGGGCGGTTCATGAGAGAATAATCGAATTAGGATTCAGTCTTTGTATTATGAGAAGATCTCTTACGTATCCTTTGTTGATTAAGGGGTTTGTTGATATTGTATTCGAGCTTGAGATGTTCGAGGATTCTAGCCCTTTTATACGTCTTGATTATATTCATACTCTCTTTTATATTGAGAATAATTTCTCCATAACTAGGTTTTTATTTACTTTTTAGAGATAGAGACTCTCTGCATTGTTGCATAGGACCCTGCCTCCAACTAACAGCAATCAGACTTGAACACTATGAACACCGTCACCTCCATGAAACCCATCCAAATTTGTGAGTCCCTGCAGCGATCTCCACGCTCTCTGTAGCCTCAAAAACCATCTCATGACTCAATCCCTGCCCTTCACGATCAAATTCAAGCCTTTTCGGCTAACTGTCACCGAGACCCCCTCTGGACTTGATATCAACGTTGTACACCGGAGGCCCATCACGGACTGTTTGCGTCGAAAATTGATGTATTCATTGCGGTATTCATTACAACTTCAATCGTTACAATGAAAACAAAAAAAAATTGTCTTTTTATAAGACTTTTACACAATGAAAACAAAAGTTTACAACTCTCGTCAAAACAAACGCAGAGATCGTTTATCGGTCTTCTGCTTGCGTGGGATCTTTGCCTGTGCCGGGGTTTATCCGTGGACCGCCTTAGATCTGGATCCGGTTGATGAAAAATTTGGCAGAGCTTCGCCTTCGCCGAGGAAGTATTTGATTTGAAGCATTGAAATCGACCAAGCGAAATCAGGGCTCTTCTCGAGATTAAGACCAAGCCTAATCTCAAGGGACGGACGGAAACGGGCGTCGGATCTCTCGAACTCTCCTTCTTTATGCCGAAGAACTCGCCAAGATCTGTCAACCCTCGCTGAAATTCGTGCTCCTTTGACTCCACAATCCGGCAGCACCTCCTCGTCTTGATAATCAATCGCCACAGAAAATGGAGGCCTTTGGTTCATATGTATAGGCCTCAAAATGCGGTTATTTGGATAAGAACAAGGGATTTGGCTCTATCTTCAGTCAACAGCAGCCTAACAACGTTTAGGGATGATCTCAAGTCAGTTAAGAACCCCTGAAACCGATAAACCCTGCAAAAAACCAATTTAAAACTGTCAAAACGTGTTTTGGAACTTTAGACTGCGCAACAGGACAATCCGACCCGCGCTCGCGCGGGTCGGA